AGACTCCTGCCTGCCTACTGAGAGATCAGATAGATCGTGATTAATGCTATACTTCTTTATTTTTGTTTCCATTTAATTTACTGTTCTACTAACTTTCCTTCTTCTGTTATGGTTATGATGCTGAACGCTAGTCAGCTAATTTTTTATACCTTATAATGTCAACCATTTCTTCCTGAACTCTTCTCATCAAGAAAAGACATTTCTGGTCATTTGAAGCTGCTCTCAGTACAGGAAGATAATCAGATTTTTGGCTTTTATCATTAAACAACATAGATCATCTTAACTGTCTTTCTCACACTCATACATATATATAAGTAGATATAATTTTGTTTATGAGCATCTTAGTTGACCTAAGTACTCCATTCTCCTACTTTAGTATAGTGTTTTATAAATTCAGAAATGAATATTGATGTTGGATAAAAATCAGTTTTGATATACTGTTAGTAAAATTAACAAGTCAGTTTAAACTTTAATAAAATCATAAATATTCTTTTTTTTTTTTTTAAGCTGGTTCTTTATTTTTTTTTTACTTATTCATACAGAACTGGGGTACAGGCCAGAGATGCGGAGGGTGAAAGGATTCACCAGAGACAGAGTGGGGTGCAGAACAGGCCGATCGACTAAGTACACTGCTGAGGGGAGCAGAGGGTGGGTCAGGAGAGGTCTGCCTCGCCATATGGATTTCCTCCAGGGCAGGCCTGGATCGAACTCATGCGGAAGTAGCTTAAGCCTCTTTGTGCTGTGCTTTAACCCACTGCGCCACCAGGGAGGGCCCAAAATCATAAATATTCTTATAGCATTTATAGGAATGAAATTTGTTTAGATATCATAGTTAATACATGATATTCAGTACATTTAAAAAATTAAATCAGCTAAAAAATAACTTGACTTTACATCACTGACAAAAATATTTTCATTTTGTATTTGGTAAAGTTTGTAAATGGTATTGCTACAATAAATTTATTTTAAAAACTGCAAAGTTAGTTTGGTAGAGTTATAAAACATGTATTTTTAATTTACATAAATTCAAGTGAGTTGTTCTCATTTTTCCTCATTACCTCATAAAATACTATGATAAAAATTTCTGTAATACTATAACACTACATTTGGCTCTTGAATAATATGAGTGCTCTTTTTTACTGTACATTTTACTGTATAAAGTTAACTACACAAAATACTGTAGCTTGAACTTAATATCTATTAAGCTTTTGAAGAGTTTTTGCTAGGTACACTGTTTACCTACTAGGTCTTGACTTGAAGTCTAGTTGTAACAATTCTGCTCTAAAAAGGGAAGGGAAACAGGATACTGTGATGTGAATAGTACTTATATTTTCAAAAATAATGTGACAGTGATGGTCAAGGTTAAAGCACTAGAGACTAAAAAGAGTGGTTAAAATCTATTTTAGACTTAGTTAAGAGGTGTGAGTTTGCCCCCTTTTCCGCTTATTTTAAATTCTTTAAATATTTTCTGCATTTGATACCATACGTGGCATAATGGTGAAAAATAGTTTTTCTTATTTATTACATTATTAGTGACTTATTAGCGTTACAAATTTTTTATTTCTTTTAAGGGCAGTGGTTATGAGCATAAAATACAGAGTTAGACTGGGAATGAATCCTATCTCTGCTACTTACTACCATTATGATTTTGGACAAGTTTCTTAAATTCAGTGTTTACTCATCTATGAGATGGTCACAAAAGTAGTATTTCAGGATTTATTGTGAGGAGTAAATGAGGTCATATGTATGAAGTGCTCACATCAGTGTCTGGCATGTAGTGTATACTATGTAAGTATTGACTTTAACTGCATGTATGTCAGAATTCATCAAGTAGTTTTATATGTAACAGTGAACAAATGGAAATGAATGAATATTTTGCAAATGTGCTGCATTTTAAATGTTATGAGTAAGAATTATTTACTAGTTCAGTCATGGGTAGTATGCTTTTATTTCTTAAAGGTTTGTGAAGGACATGAGTAAAATTGATTTCCTTTCCTCTTCAATTGTCTGTTACTTTTTGAGAAAGCAGACGTCTTCATCTGACAAATCAATATAAAGTTTTAGTCTGTGCAGTACAGTGCTTTATGCATAATGGATGCTGTTTATATGTTTGCTGATTATAATCAAATCAAATCTCTTTAGACTTGCTGGATTAATTGAGTTTGGATATTGAGGGAAGAAAGTAAGTTCACTTAAGATGGCAAAATTTGAAGCAGATAGTAATGATATTTATGGTAGTAGGCCTTCCTGTCTTCTATGCTGACAAATTATTTATTGTCCTGATTGATGGCACTGTTTAGCAAAGTATTTTTTTACTTATGATCATATTTTTTGAGAGTTGTACTCTTTGACCTTAGACAATTAACCCATTTGTGTTTGAGATTTTTCATCTCTAGAATTATGATCTTATCTATGATTGTAGGACTTTGGTAATGATAAAATGTAATAATAGGCATGAAGTACTTAATTCATTAATTGGTAAATAATCATTGTTACTATTATTACCACTATTATTATTTCCCCCCAGATATCTAGTAATACACTGTGCATTTTCATGGTTGTATATCCTGATGTATAAATTCTCTTTTTCTTTTTTTCTGAAATGTTCCCTGATTGTTTTAGTTTGTGGAACTTTCAAGGGAAAATGTCATCTTGGTTTTCCTTTCCAGACCAAACTAAAAAATGCTTAACTACCAGTATAGTTTGCACCTGGGCTCAGGGTCATGGTGGGGCTCATGGTGGGTTTCATTCCTTCATTTAAACGTAAATGACTTCATTAGTAGATAACAACTAAGAGGTGTTATATTTGTAGGTAGCAACAGTGACTAGGAGTTGGCTTTGTTTTTAAAGATTTATTCATTCATTCATTCATGCACACATGCACGCATGGACGCATACAGAACTGGGGTACAGGCCAGAGGTGCAGGGGCAGTGAGAGGATCACCAGAGACAGAGTGGGAGCAGAACAGGCCGACTGATGAAGTGTACACTCCTGAGGGGAGCAGCAGGCCGGTCAGTAGAAGTCTGCCACCCCATGTGGGTCACCTTCAAGGTGGGGATCAAACTCATGCTCAAGTGGCGTTAACATCTTAGTGCTGTGCTTTAACCTGATGTGCCACCAGGGAGGGCCCAGGAGTTGACATTTTAATCATAAGCATTTGTGTTCATTATTTTTAGAAAAGCAGCAATATTGAGTAGAGTTTGAGTGGTTAATTTTTCTAATTGCTAAATTTCCTACCATGATTTTTCCTTCTTGTTATAATATGGTTTGCACAGTGAAACAATCATGTCTGTGTTGCTCTTTCATTTCTCATATTTTTGAAGTATCATATATTTTTGATATGAGAGAGTATAATTATTCATGTTTAGTCCTTTTATTTCATAGAGCAGAAAATAGAATTAAAGGAATTTGAGATTTGGTAGAATGGAGATACCTGTTATTGGTTTAGTGCTTGTATCTGACTCAGCATAAAATAATGTTAAGTAACTTTATTAAAAGTTAAATGGTAGGTACGTTTTGGAGATCTTTTGTAGTAATACATACTGTGACTTCTACCTGTCTCAATGAAGGGATGTGAAAGTTCAGTTTATTTTAAAATCCTTAAGCAGTAGCATTTTTTTAAACTAGTGTTTAGAAATACGGATATCAGTATGGTCTGTTAACATCTTGATAGACCAGGATAAATAAAAAATGAAAATATGAAGTTATAAGAATTCAGGACTTGATCTAATCTGAGAATCATTAAAAAAAATCCATAGAGTGGGTACTTGGGATAAGAGAAACAAAAATAAAAAATTCAGTTAGAGTAAGCAGAGCACGGTAGCAAGAGCTACCCTTGTAAATAAAGATAGCATTACCTGCTTGCTTTCAAGGGACATGTTCTTGCTATGTTTATATAGCATTAATATGCTGAGAATTGTAAATTCTCTGTTTCTGAAATATCAATAATAAATGACTGTTTACTTTCTTTTTTGTTGTTTTTTAATATTTACTTTCAAGTTCAGGAAATATGGTTAGAAATATAAGTTATTTACCAAGAGTTAAAAAAAACTCTATAACTCTTTTAAGTTAGTAAAAGTGAAGGTAAATTAGGCAAGAAGTAATTAACATGTTGATCTCCTTGGATACCTTAAGATTCCAGGAGAGGGAGCAGTTTCTTTAGATGGTTACCAAAGAATTAAGAGAAAGTATATGAACAGAATATTGTAAGTTGACAGTATTTCTCTGAATAAAGTTAAAAAGAACACAATTTTCTGGATGTGCTGAATGATGGGATAGCAAGTATGGGGGCTCCCAACCCAAAATTCAGCAAATGGTAAATCAGCTTTGTTGACAAATAGTGTGATTGGGCAGGTAACCTTTGGAGAGTGGAGATTTTTAGGTAGGGGATGATACAATTTTATAAGAATTACTCTATTGTGATTTGAAGGATGGATTCAAAATAAATGTCTAGAAATAAGATGATATGATAGTACTACATAGACCCTCTTGTAATGAACTAAGACATGAATTATGAAGGTAGGGTCAAAGTTGCAAAATAATGGAAGGGGGAGAAATTTCACACACACACACAAACTGGTACAGTTTGGTGATTGATTTATAAAACCATACAGATTGACTCCCCTCCTCCCACAGAATAATGACTCAATCAAATTCCATGTTTTATTTCAGTTTTGACAAGTTAGCTGTGATTGTGTTATATACAACTACCAGATTGTTTGACTTTGATAGATTCCCTGATAAATGGGAACATCTAGTGTGTGAATAAAAAAAAGATTTTACTTATTGTCCCCCTGTTTGTCAGTATTGATGATTTATTTTCAGTTTAGTGTTAGTTTATCTTTAGAATTGATACTGTCTCTAGATTATTCGCTACTGGTTTTATTTTTGAAGGGGGAAACCATGTAGGTTTCATAGCTACTAGGAGTTCAAATGCAATAATTAGCAAGGACACACAAATTTTGAAATAGTATTTTATGCCTCTTGATCTCAGGTACAAAACAGGAGATGAAGCAGTTAAATAGCAAAGCAAGACAGGAGGGACAGAGAATTAAAGTAAGTGTTTTCTATATATTGCATCTATGTTCCCATTAATCTCTGTTTTGTTATGTAACTGCTCCTTCTGAATGTTTTGAATGTGAAGAAATCTATGGGTGAGAAAAGGGTGCATTTTGAAGTTAGGTTTAAATGAAGCCATGAGAGAGAATGTCTGTTACTCTTGGTTGCAATCAAAAGATCACCTACTTATAATTGTAATCTTAAAATTTTTGGATAAGAAAAAAATGTTTATGACAATACTGCTTTTTAAAAAATCTTTTCCAGCAGATACTTAAAATGAAAGAAATTACATAGTTCTATGATTGTCTGTTTTTCTATCTATTCAAACCTTCTGGTTTTTTTGTTTGTTTGTTTTTCAGTCTGGCTATTTTTACTGTAACAAAGCCTGTTGAGATGCTCTATGGTTGGAGCTTCATTATGTCAGGTTCTTGCCTCACAGAATTTCACTTAACTTTGTATGTCCATGAAATAGCATCTTTATCAGGATTGGTTTTTACAATTCTCTCCTTAAAAATCTTATTGTCCAGTCTTGAAAGTTAACCAGCAGAAGTCAAAACATATTAATCGTTGAGTTTTATGTCCCTTTTTATACTTACTGAGGTCTTCCTTTCTGACAGCTTATTTATTATCTTCTGTAACTGCTTATTTCTTATTCATGAGAATGAAATGGAGGGTAGATTTTGATGGAATACATTTTTAGGCCCACAGCCTGTTTTTATTAATAATAATCTCAAACAGTTTGCAAACCTGCTTACATGTGTATCCTGTTTGAACTGTCAAATCTGCTCATGAAAAAGATCATTAAACAAAAATAATGTCCATTTTAGATGTGAGAAAATTGAGTTTCAGAGAAGGTAGATAATTTACCACATTATATCCAAGATTAATAACTAGGCAGTATAATTCAAAATTATTGTCCTTTTCTTTCTTATCACACTTGCCAAATACATTTTAAAAACTTCAAAACAGTTGTTCAACCTACTTGTCTAGGACTTATTCAGGACAAATACTCTGGAATTTGCAATATGATGGTATTATCATTCTTATAAAAGTTCTATTTATGTTTTATGCATGAAATAATATAGTATGATGAAGAGGGTAAGTTTGCTTCCTGGTTCATTGTTATATTTGATCTTGGAAAAGGTAAGATACTTCGTTGATGAGCCTCAGGTTTATCATTTGTAAAGAGACTTACCTCATAAGAAGTGTGTGAGAATTAGAAAAAGTTTTATAAAATATTTAACAGAATAACTGCAATTTTAAAAGTAATCTCTAAGCATTTCATCTTTTTATATTCAGTCTCATGAAAACGTATAGATCTAGATATAGATTTACAGGTTCTGGATCCTCTGTATATAGGCAGATGTCCTGAACAAGATGAGGAACCTGTTATAATTTGTTTTTTTGACTGTAGGTGATTTTGTTTCATTTTCTTTCTATTTTCTTCTATCATTGTTCTCCTTACAGATTTAGTCTCTGTAGTTCTCCTATCACTGTAGCACCTAAGAATCATCACCATAGTTCTGTGTGCTATTCCCTGCCTTCTTTTGACCCTTTCCCCCTTTTTCTTGCTGTTTGCCTCAAATGTGTGGTCAGCCTGCAGGCTATTAGTCTTTTTTTCTGACCCTTTGTTTGCTTTTCCTGTGTTCCCACCTATAAATGAAAGAATCTGTATTTTTCTTTTTCCTTGTGACTTGTTTCACTTAGCATAATCCCTTCCATCTTGCTACTACAAGTGGCATTGAGTTCATCTTTTTTGATTACTCAGTGGTATTCTTTTGTGTATATATACGCACAACACCTTGATCCCTTCATCTTTTTTGAGGCATTTAGGGTATTTCTTAAACTTAGCTACTGTAAATAGTGTTCCAGTAAACATAGGTATGTAGGTTTTCTTTCATGTTAGTGTTTTTTGTGTATCTTTTGGGTAGGTTTCTAGTTGTGGGCTCACAGTTACATGGTAGATACATTTTTAGAGCTTTAAGGGTTCTCTGCACAACTTTCCATAGTGGCCAGATCAGTTTGCATCCCCCTGACCCCCAGCAGTGTAAGAGGGCTTCTTTTTTCACACATCCTCACCAGCATGTATTTCCAGTTTTTATAATATGAGCTGTTCTCATTTATGTGAGGTGGAGTCTCATTATGGTTTTGATTTGCATTTCCTTGATAATAAGTGATGCTGAACATTTTTTCTTATGCCTGTTGGTTATTTGCATTTCTTTTTTGGAGGAGTGTCTTTTTAGCTCTTCTCATGGATCAGTTTTTCAGTGTGTTGTTTGCTTTGTTTTTTGTTGAGTTGTGTAATTTCTTTGTAGATCTTTGATTTCAGTTCCGTATCATTTATATGATATGCACATAATTTTTCCATTGCCTAGGAAGTTTCTTTGTTTTGGTTACTTTCTTTTTTACTGTGCAGAAACTTTTTAGTTTAATGTAGTCCCAGCTTGTTTATCTTCTCCTTTGTTTTCCTTGCTTCTGGAGCTGAATGCTCAAAGTTGTTTCTGAGGTATATGTGAGGGAATGTTTTCCTGTGCTTTCTTATACTTATTTTATGGTTTCTACCTTACATTCATATCTTTTATCCATTTTGAGTTGCTGTTGTGTATGGTATGAGATAGTAGTCTAGAGTCATTATTTTACATGTAGCAGTCCAGTCTTATTGAAGATACTTTCCTTGTTCTAGTGTATATTCTTGCACCTTTGTCATAAATTTGTTAATCATATATGTGTGATTTTATTTCTTTCAAGTCAGTTCCATCAGTCTGTTTATTTTTGTTCCAGTGCTATGCTGTTTATATTATTATGGCCTTGTAGTATAGTTTAAAGCCTGGAGGTGTGACGTGTCCATTTTTCACCTTTTAGTCAGGAGAGTTTTGTATATTAGAGTTTTTTCGTTATTCCACATGAATTTCCATAGTATTTATTCCACTTTTCTGAAGAATGCCATTGACATTTTTATTGGAATTGCATTGACTCGGTAAATTGCTTTTAGTAGGATGGTTATTTTGATAATGTTAATTCTTCTGCTCCATGAGCAGGACCTGTTAGTGTTTGATGCTCAGCAAGAGGTTCTGTAAGTCACGAAAAGTAAATTATGTAAATAAAATTAAAACTAAGAAATGTTTATTACACTAGAGTTTTTTTGAATTTGAAGATTACTGGGGATAAAATGGGTAACATCCTAGCTTCTTAAAAACATGCAAATTCTTGTTCATCTACAGTCTTCATACAGAATGTAGATTCTAAGAGACAAAACTGCTTAATCATATACATTGTTGTAAACCATTGTATGTCAATTAAAAAAAAAAAGCAAGCTTCAGTTCCTTAGATCTATTTGAAAGGATGTCTATCTTAGAATGTAGTTATAAGACACAAATAAGTTTATGAATACCAAAAACTTAGCATGATTAATTTGCCATTTCCACTTATGATACATTATTGTCACATATTCTAACATTTTAATCTGAGAACAACGAACTTTGTATGTTTTCTTCAACATACTTAATTGATGAGCAAACCTTTATGCTAGCAAATGAATGGTTTAATTTTTGCATGAAACAAGCCATAAATTCGAATTTAGTATAGGGCATTTTTTTAGTGCCCTATTTTTTTTAGATTAAGAAATAAAATATCAGCTGTTTTCAACCTGATATTTTCTCTACATCAGTGATACCACTTTGTTTATACTTTTCTGAGTTTTCACTCTATAAATACTATTTTTAATTTCCTTCCAAACTTACTTAGTCTCCTATATCAGTTTTCTTCAGTATCTTCCTTTTCATCTTAAGAGTCTTACTCTGATGCAATTTCTGTACTAGTGTTTGTGAACTGTTCTCGTAGAAATCCCACTTCCCCCCTTTTCTTGTACTTCTTTAATTCATAAAGAATTAATATTTTACTGTTTTCTAGTTATTGAAATTATTGCAGAAAACCAAAAATGATCAAACATGATCTGTTTGTTAAATGATCTTTTTCATGGCATAAAAATTCATTATACTATAGAACGATCAATTATGATAATAACCCAGGAAAGTAGAAGCACAGAAGTAGAGACAGTACTTTTTTTGAAAACTATAGGGTATACCAGTGAAAGTGATAATCTCTTTTGTAACACAAATTACAAAGGACTTAATTCTTTGCCTTTCGTGAGACTCATGAACTTGGTGAAATGAGTTCGGATATCCTGAGCATTAATTCTAACATGTAAAACAAAAAGGCTGAATAAGATCATAGCTTCTCAAACTGTGCTTGATAGGATATTAATTATCAATGTACAGATATGTGAATCCCTGTACAACTTATTTATTTATCAATAGACTTCCTAGTTTATGTTAAATTTCTTAGGTTTTAATAGGTTCTTATAAATTATATATCTTTAGGGAGAGAACATACCCCCCCCATTCTTTCTTTTCTGTTACTTAGTACTTATATTTGTTAGTAACATTAACTTAATTTAGGCCTACAGTACATTCTAAGTTATTTCTTAAAGTGTGAAGTGTTGATTTTTTTTTTTTTGCAAAAGGCTATCCAGATTTTTTTTAAATACATTTTTTCCATTGAACTTCATTGAAAATCACTATGTATGTATGTCACTATTCTGTTCCATTTTTAAATTTTATCTTTATATCAGTACCATGCCATCTTTTTTTTTAATTTATTTATTTGTGCATACAGAACTGGGGTACAGGCCAGAGGCTCAGGGGTGGTGAGAGGCTTCACCAGAGTTAGAGTGGGGAGCAGAACAGGCAGATCGACGAAGTACACCGCTGAGGGGAGCAGCGGGCAGGTCAGGAGAGGTCTGCCATGCCATGTCATCTCCAGGGCAGGCGGGAATCGAACTCATGCTGAAGTGGCTTTAGCTTCTTAGTGCTGTGCTTTAACCCGCTGCGCCACCAGGGAGAACCACCATGCCATCTTTTAAAAATTTTTTTAAAAATACATTCATTACATCATCCTTCATTTTTGTATAATACATGATTTCCCATTGAAAGTGTCAC